TTTTTTTTTTTTTGCGTTTTGTTTTCTGTGCCGCGCACAAAGGTCCGACACCCAAAAAAAAAATATGGGCGTGTAGGGCTTTTTCAGCCCTACACGCCCATATTTTTTTATTTTTTTTTTGTACGTGAAATATGGGTGAAAAAAATCATGTACCGAACTCGGATGGTCGGCCTAGGCCGAACCGGGCCAAGTCGGTCATCAGCCTAGGCCGCGGCCGATTCGGACCCCCCGGCTGCGGCCGGGCGTGCAACATAGACCTCAACGGGCTGGCGTTTGTGGTTACAACAAAGGGCTGTTTAGGATCCGGAAGTTTGAGAACTTCATAGTGCGTTAGGGCGTACTTCAATTTCTTGAAGGCTGCCTCACACTCTTCGGTCCACTCCCATGGGGTGTCAAGGCGAGTGAGGTCAGTAAGAGGGGAGGCTACAGTACTTTAGTTCTTGAAAAATGGGTGATAGTAGACTGTCATCCCCAAAAATGACCTCACCTCAGTCACAGACTAAGGTCTCGGCCAGTCACATATGCTGGCCACTTTAGCATCATCCGGTCTCAATCCATCCGCGAAAATCTCATAAGCGCGGTTTTCGCGCAAAAGGAGGGGAAAAAGTTGAGGCCAATCGAGTACATGAGCAAAAAGATGCCATCTCATAAATTAGCTAAGTCCATGTATGCGCGTGAGCTCTATGCCCTGTATACAGCGCTGGTCCATTGGAGGCACTAACTCCTAGGCAGATTCTTTTATGTGAGATCTGACCATGAGACGCTGCGCTGGATTAAGACAGTCAGTGCTCTCCGGTGCACTAAAGAGGTGGATTGAAGTCATAGATATGTATGACTTCAAGCTCAACCCTCTTAAGGGAGAGTACAGCAAAGTGGCTGATGCACTATCACATAGGGCAGACTATCTGGGCGCGCTAGTGACTGAGTTTGGAATTTCTAACGATGTAACTCGGTCTATGGTGGAAGCCTATCAAGAGGACGCAGTCATGTCTGAGATCATCCGCAAACTGGAAGCTAAAGATAAGGCTACTTCCGATGAGTTTGTGCTGGTTGACAGCTTGCTGTTCCTTGAGAAGGCTGGGAATAAACGTTTCTGTGTTCCAAATAAAGAATCTTTGTGTAGTTTATTTTTAGGTGAGTGCCACGATGCAACGGGACATTTTGGCTATAAAAGGACAGCAGCAAATTTACTGCAGCTATTTTGGTGGCCCACAATGATGGGTAATGCAAAGAAGTATGTAGGTGATGTAAGACGTGGGTGAAGTCGAGGGAAAGAGAGAGAGAGAGAGAGAGAGAGAGAGAGAGAGAGAGAGAGAGAGAGAGAGAGAGAGAGAGAGAGAGAGAGAGAGAGAGAGAGAGAGAGAGAGAGAGAGAGAGAGATGAGGTTGATGATGTGAGGGCACGCACCTGGTCTTGGCGACGGTCTACAAGGCCAACATCTTCATACACTTTGGTTGTTGCTGCTGGCGTCAATGGGATGCATTGTCAATTTGCAGGCTGCTAGTAGTTGTGTAGTAGTAATATGGGCGCTCAGCGCCAAGTAGGAGGGGCTCTGGATACATGTGTTGGTGATGGCGAGAGTATGCTCTCATTGACATCTGGATTTGGTGCTTTGGTTCTCCATTGGTGAATATAAGTGCATTTCTGCTTTCTGGACAGCGGTGGACTTTCTGGCTTTTAATGTGAAATTGCATTCTGGATTTCTGTCATTTCGCTATCTCTCATTTTCCTTGTACAGACTAGGTCTACTAGGGGGGGTGATATGAACAGCCTCCTCTAGTCGGCCCATTATTGGCCGCTCCATCTATTGGTGGGGAGCATCACCTGCTGGAAAACGGGTCCAGCGTCCCTGAGTACATGAGTTGAGTTTAGTTTGACTGATACATAGATGATGCATGAGAGTACTTGGACTGAGTTCCTTGTGGGCAGCCTGTGAGCTTAAAAATGCAGCCAGTACCTTTTCATCCCTCTGCCTAACGCCAGTTATGTTCTGTAGAGACCAAGTACCCTGCATTCTAAGCAAGAGAAAGACATTCTGAGACCTACTTTTGCTGCAATTCACCTACTCACAGTCCACCTTGTCTGGGCTCTGAATTTGTCTCGGCAAGTGTGTTCGAATATACCTGATTCCCAGCTTCTGTAAAGTTATGTCAACCTTGACACTCCTAGTAGTTCACTTTAAACCTTGCAGTTAAAATCTCATGGCAGCATTCCTAGATATGGGCAAAAGGTGAAAGGCCGTTGGCAACAGATTACAACCCATTCTGCACTATTTTATCTTGGAGCATGTGGTTGTAGAGTTCACACCCAAGGCTTAAGGGATGGAAGATTGTACGAGGGTGTCAATTCGATAGTATGTGCACACCGAATTTCAAGTAGTGTGAGGGGAGTAAGATGGCAGTAGCAAATCCCGGTGAGCAACACGTTGCTCTGAAACTGATTGCAGAGAATTGCAGATGATATGGGGTTGAGTGGAACAGGGTTAGTTGCTAACCTTCTGAAAGATGGAACATCTTATCTGCACAGTTTCTAGATGCCATTGAATTGCGTAGTAAAACCCTTGTATGGCCACAGAGCTGAAAGCCACTTTCAAGTTCTGCAAGACCCTGGCCAGAAAATGTGCAGTTCTGGTCCTCAACCATGCAAACTCCCTGCTCTACACTTGCAAAATTTGATCCTTTGACAAAGACCTTGCTCATCGTTCCGCTTCGTCTCTCTCCTCGATGCATACTGTGAGCAAATGGAGCAGCTGGAAATGTGACATGTTAAAGTTAGCGCCCAGGTACCACAAGAGCACACTTGAGCTCAATATCTTCTAGCTAATGTTATGCTACATAGATGACCACAGCAACTGCATATTTTAAGTCACTATGCGAAAAAGATGATCACAAGGGCATACTCAAACTACACCTTTGCTTCTCTTGCAAACTAACTTTCAACTGGCGGTGCATCACCCACAATCTTCTCAATCCAATATCTTCATGCGGGAAACATCAGCACCATGCCCAGTGGGACAGAGGATTTTGGGGGCACATCTGCACAGATTCTTCAGTGTCCTGCAGATCCTGGAAAACCCCTTTTCAGGGTTAGCTTCAGAGGATTTACAACAGGGGTGCCAGTGATCTATGCTCAGTCGTGCCAAATAGAACAGAAAAGGGAAAATTCTCCATGTTCAGCAGTAGGCTTGTGTCCAACTGTGCAAGCACACAATGGAAGAAATTAAGGGGGAACACAATCTTGTCTCATATACAAGTGCAAGGAAAATGAGCTATAGCGAGATGACAAAATCCAGATTGCACAATCACATTGAAAGCCAGAAAGTATCACAGTGTCCAGTAAGCAGCATTGCACCAATATAACACCAATGGAGAATCGTAACACTGAAAACCGAATGTCAATGAGAGCTTGCTCTCGCCATCACCAACATAAGTATCCAGGCCCTTCTCCCTACTTGGCGCTCAGCGCCCAGCCTACTCCCTACACAGCTACTATCTGCCTACTAATTGACAATGCAACTGTTGACGGCAGCAGCCAACGAAGTACTTGAAGATGTCAACCAATGCAGACCATTGCCAATACCAGGTATGTGCCCTCACATCATCATCATCATCATCATCATCATCATCATCATCATCATCATCGTGCCTTCTCCCTCGACTTTCACCCACGTCTTCCCTCTGTACGCCCGAAGACCACCACTGTGCCTTGCTGTACATCTGATACATGCCCAGTTGGGCAATGTATGTACAGCCAAGGATCCGCAATGTGATGAAGAGGACGGAATGGACAATGCAATGTTAGTGCAACATCAACAGTCAATGCGCGCCCTGATACATACAAAATAGCGCAAAATAGCACAAAATAGCGCAGCGGAAGACTTTGAGATAAGTCCTGACCTGACCAGGACTGACGCGACACCCCATCACTCGTCACACATGTGAGAGAGGAGGATGGACCACACACATAGAAGAAAGGTCCTTCCTTTGTACACACACATAGAAGAAAGCTCCTTCCTTTGTACACACACATGGGGAGATACCACAGATGAGAGATGGCGGGAGAGGAGAGACGAAGATGGAGGCGAGGGAGAAGACCAAGATCGCAATAGCGAAGTCCAAAAATAGTCCTTTGTCGTTGTCCAATCAATGTCTGCCTCAGAAATGTCAGATCAGATCCTGGGCGCTCTGCCCACAGTAACCTCTGCCTGTATCCTCTGCCTGTGACCTCTCTCAGAAGAAAAAGAAGGAGGATGTAGCGGTACCCCTACGGCCCGACAGTGAGACCGGACCAGTTTCAGGCCGTCGGCCTGACCCTGGTCCCGTACCAGGTTGTTCCCGTCCCTCGACCTAGGCCGGTATATCACTTCGGCCTAGGCCCAGATCCGGCGGTCAGTTGATTGATTTATTCTTCATTCGTTCGTTCATCGAGCCGGACTGGACCTTCACTCAGCTGCTGCTTCTCGTGTGTGTCCATCTCCTCTCTCTCTCTCTCTCTCTCTCTCCATCTCCATCTCCGCACGTGCCCTTCGCATGTGCGTCACATTGGTATCGGAGCAGGTTCTCAAACCTCTGCTCTTCCCTCCCTCCCCCTCTCGCTATCCCACCACAGCCCATAGCCATCTCCAAGTTCGTTCTTGCAGCTGCACCTGGCCCGTCAACACGACCAGGTACATTCGTCATCCAAGCTGGTGCCTTTCTCGACGTGGGCGCTACTTCAGCTGCTGCAGTCATCCTACAGGCTATCGATGCCGACCTACTGCCGCTCGTGCTCTGGTTCGTCCCTTGGTCGTGGCTCCTATCGAGTGCATCCCTTGGTGGCAATGCGCTGACCTTGGCGACCTGCAGCTTACGCTGCAGTGAGAAGTCTGTTGGAACCTCATCCTTTGAAGAACGAGAAGTCGTAACAAGGTTCATGTAGGCGAACCTGCGGAAGGATCATTGACACGTGGACGCCTAACTTCCACCACGTCAGCGCCTCCTTCCCCTTCCGACTCCCCTCTTCTCCCCGCCTTTCGGCTGCCATCTTCCAATCTCCCCGACTGGCAACTGCTGCTCATTCCGATCCCCACCTCACCCCCCCGCTTTGCTTCCCCCTCCCCCCTTCTCTCTCGATCCCGACCTCCCTCTTCCATTCCCGGATCCGATCCCCCCTCATTCCCCCC